GTCCTGTGGCTGTCATCAGTGGTGAGGAGGACTCAGCCAGCCCACTGCACCACATCAACCATGGCATCACCACTCCCTCCTCTCTGGACGCCGGGCCTGACACTGTGGTCATCGGTATGACCCGCATTCCTGTCATTGAGAACCCCCAGTACTTCCGTCAGGGACACAACTGCCACAAGCCAGACACATGTAAGTACTGGGATGGGATGCTGTCCCTTCTTGGGAGGGAAGGGTGGTAGAGCAACAGACCATATAGCTGGGGCTCTGGAGTCTTCTGGGGTAACCTGCCACCTGCTAACTTCCCACTCTCTAGGAGACCCTCCCTCTTTGTCTCAAAATTTGGAGGATAGCTTGGGCATGGAGATACCAGTGAGCAGAGTCCCTGGGGAAGGGAAGGCCATAGGTCTGAATCACTTGGGCTCAACAGGACCCTGGGTAGGGAGAGGTGTTCCCAATAAGGCAAGAGATACAACCGAGGCTGGCTTCTCTGTGGACCTAGCCTAGCAGTTAGAACATATAACCTGACTTTGTCCAGATTACAGTCTCTGAGGTCATCAGAACCTCCACCTAAGCCTCCATGAGAGGGGAAGGAAATGAAGGGCAAGGGTGGTGAGTACCTTTGAATGGAAACATCTCTCTAGCTGTCCCTCCAATGCCCCCAAGTGTGCACTTTCTAAGAATCAGACCACAGCCAAGTGCCAGGAACCCTCACCTCCTCCTTGAGACCAGAGGGCATAGGGCTCCTGTTTTCTCCTCATCTCCCACGACCTGTTGATTGCAGCTCCTCTCTTTGTACTTCTGCTGAGCTGTACTAGGTTCCTTCTCAGCTCCTGGAGCTTCAGTGGCTTCTTCCTCCATCCAGCAGATTCAATGGGCCCAGTAGCCATATCCCTTTCCTTCCCATTGCCCCTACCCTCAGGAAATGATCCATTGCTTCAGGAGAGTGCATAGAGACCCCTGGACAGCAGGGACCTAAAGGATAGCCCAAAAGCTGGCAGGGACCCAGCTAGGTTAGGTAATACTGAGTTCTCCTTTCCTGTCCCTAGGCTCCCTGCCCATGGGTTTTCTTCAAGTCTTGGTCAATTCAGGATAGGCCTAAGAAGAAGTGCATTCTGGTCTTGCTCTCTCCCTAGGCTGAGCACTCCATACTTGAACCACATTCTTTGTAGTTCACAGAACTCTTGCTGCTCCTGTTGAGTCATTTGTGCAGAGGGAGCCTTTGGATGCCCTGTCAGGCTTTGCTTCCATTTCTCTGGCTCTGAGTTTAGTGAGAGGGTTGCCACGGTGGGCTCAAGGGCTGAGGGGGAGGTGTGACTAAAGTCAGCATAAGGCTATCACTTGCTTTCAACTTTGGTTTCCTCCAAAATCTGCTTCAGTTTCAGATGCTCCCTGTTAGATTCAGAGGAAGAATACCTAGGTTTCTGGACTAGGGATTGGAAAGGAAGAAAGATACCCATATTTCAGATAAACATTGGGAGACAATGCCAAGAACAGTTCTGCGCTAGCTAAAACTCTTGTCTCAGAACAGGCTCATTCATGGACTGGCTGGGAGTAGCCAGAAGAAAAGCCCTTATGGTAGCATAGGTCTAAGTTCCACCTCTGGCTGATGCTGAGTTTTCATTGGGATTTGAACAGAGACAGCCATTGCTGCCTTGAATATAGACTTTGTTCTGGTTACTTGAGTTGGGTCTTTTCTCTAAAGTCACAGTGAATGATGAATGAGAGAACACCAAATCATTGCTCTTAGAGGAAATAATAGCATTAGGTTCCTATAAGCCTCTAGTCACAATATTTTATTAGCCAATCAGTATACAATTTTGTATGTGGTCTTCTGTCTAAAAGCACCTTATTTAATTAATGTATTCCTGACTCATTAACAGACACAATGGCCAACTCATGACTGCTCTAAGTTCATCTGTACACATGCTCCTCTGAAGACGCATCACAGCCATCCAGTGCTTAGGAACATAAGATGGTATTTCAGAGCTGTGCTCTGAAAAATTTATCAAGAAAACTCCCCTGCCAAATTCGAAAAATGTGGTCCCCAAGAGACCATGTAAAGGGTACTTGTTTATGGCTTGAAAACTGAGCTAAGAATTTCTCCCAAATGTCATACATGATAAGTATATACAATTTTTATTTGCCAATTACAAGAAGTAACTTGGTACTTTTAAAGGAAGGCCAAGCATCTCCTTGTTCGGCCTCAGCTGGAAAAGGGCACGTGGGCAACTGTACTATTTTGTCACTCTGTGTAAGTCACACATCAAAGTGCATCAAATATTATTTTGGGAATTGCTAATGAATTTTAACAAGTAGACAAATTAACAAGTACAGAATCGTGAGTAGTGAGGAGCACCTGTATGCCCTTAAGAGGATGCCTTGGGTTCCTGGTGCAAAATGTGATCCCAGGGTTTTATCTGCTCCTGGTGGAGCTCCAGATACCACGTTATCTGCACAATTGCTGGAGTGAATGAATCTGGCACATGGTGGGGAAGTTTCTTTTGAACCATGGGAACTTGGGATCTGTGGAGATGGCTGTGGGATCCAGTGAATGTCCTTTGATATCAGCCATGGAGCCTCTGCACCAGGAAAACCAGGTACAGGCAGAGCCTTCCTTATAAAGCTGAGTGTAGGATTCAAAGTAGCCTTGCTGGGGAGCCAGGCAAATTTCTGTGTAAGCAAGAGGTGAGTTGGTGGAGATGGAGGGGAAGCAGGCTTAGTGATGGAGACTTGAAGGAGGAGGGGAGCAAACAAAGCCCTATCAGAGGGAAATGGAAAGATGACTTTGGGTTGTTAAGACCAGTGTCTGGAAATTAGGGGCAGTAGTCTTTGCATGGAGTCAGTACATTTTCCCCTATCAGGACACAGAGGATGGCTCTAATTGTTTTCAGAAAACAAGTATGGCTTGATAAACATTGTGCAGGATCACTGTGTGGGGAATTGGCCGATCCTTCAGTGACTCACACAATCGGGACAGGGGGCACCAGCCACCCTCAGAAGAGATTTTCCAGCTGAGGGGCAGCAGATCTCTGATCTTCTTCAGTAAAAAGAACTGACGCCAAGGTACATCCCTGTGTGTGATGAAGACACTGTCATAAATAATTAAAACCACATATGCCTTGGCACTTAAATAAGTGGGGGAACAGTGATGCAGACAAGGCGGGGTCACTCCTGTGGGAGAACGGTAAGAATCTGGGGATTAAGACAGCACAGTGCTCAAACTGTGGACCCCAGAGCTGTCTCTATCTGATTCCCTTCCTTGGTCCATTTTAACACGTGTCACATGGGAAGGAATTGCAGTGCTGCGTGACTTCAGACATCATCTTCCTAGTCCCCCAGTGATGGATTAAGGACAGAATGCTTTTCTTTCTTCACTCAGGTGTTTGTTTATCATCGAGTGGTGGAACCTTTCTGACTGGGATGATTGGATTGCCGGTCCTGTCCTTGTTTCTCACTTTCTATCTCTCTTTAATCTGCTCAGAGCATTTTTCATTGCATGTCAAGCTCCAAGGATACTTAGAGATCACCTGGTACGATCCCTTATCAGATGCTTGCATTCCCTTGTCTATGTTCCCAACAAGTGCTCTGCATTTAACATTGTCTTTATTCTGAATTTATTCAGCCTTTCCAGGGATTTTGAAAGACCTGAATAAAGATGTACTTACGTGGCCATGTATACCCAAACTAAGCCTAATACTGCACCTCTCGTTGCTTATATAAAATCCCTTGATTCTCAAAAGCATAGGGAAGTGGATATAACCCTCCTTGTCACATACCTGAGGGTCCTAGACCTTGGACAAGGTCCTTCAGGATGAGACACCAAGGGCCCTGTCACTGGGGAGAAAGTAAAAAGCAAAGTAGCAACACTGGACCCTGGGTTACTTCTACAGCCTGTGACAACTCTGGGCTTTGGAAAGGTTATTCCTGTGTTGGGGCTGGACTGCTTGCTGCTGTCTTGGGTGTCACACTTTGGCTGGTCTCCATAGGCCACTTGGAAAGTTCCTTGGCCCTCTTTAAGGTCCTAGGTTTTCTGTTAATCCCTTTTCTCAAAACTCATTCTCTAGGTAGAGAAAGCAGAGGCCATCAGGGGAGGTATCTTGTGTTCACCCAGCCCTCCCTTCTGTCTTCAAGAGTTCCATGTCTGCATTTGTTCCCAGGTATGGTGTATCCACCTTCTCAGAGTTAGTCCTTCCAAGCCTGCAAACAGGAACATCCCCTCATCCTGGTCAGCCTGCTCCTTCTGGTGCCCTCTTCTTGAAGTCATGTCCATCTGTTTCTTTTTTATAATTATTATAAATTTTTATTAGGGTATATTCATTATACAGAGGGGATTTGTAGTGACAATTCTGGTTAGACTTATATTGTACATTATTGACATTGCCCCCATCGTCTCTCCCCCTCAGTCCCCTCCCCACTCCACTTGAAGCAATTGCAAGAAGTTTTTTGGTTCCGTTTCATATAGCTATCTGCTTCTGCTCACCATAAACCTCTTGCAGCTCCCTGAGGGAGCTTCAGCTCCATCTCTAGTTCTGTTTCTCCATGATCTTGACCACGTTCTTTTGAGTCTCTCTCCCTCTTAGTATCCGAGTCATTTATACTGTCTGGCTTCTGTCATTTCATTGATTCAGTGCATATGCATCAAGGATTTGGTTAGGCCTTCTTGGCTCTGGAAACAATGGGGACCAAGACACACATGCTCACTACCCATTTCATCTCACCACCAATGCCAGCCATAGCTGATCCCCAAGACAAGGATGGTATCCACTGCCTCCTGGGGACTCTCTTGGGGCCTTGTGCATTCAACATTTACCCAATGACTCACCAACCTTTATCCTTTCTCTCCAGACCACCCGTCCCAGACGCCAGCTGCTACCTTAGTGTAATTCCTGCTTTGGAATGGTATCTTTTCTCCCTCTCTGCATGGCCCTGCCCCACACCTCTTTCTTCTTTCTCTGCCCTATTTGTCTTTTAATGCCACCTCATTTCCAGCTTCTTGTGACTCCCTCCTAGACTCACACTATCTCATCCTGACATTTCCTTCCTCCCTTCTAACTCTTGGCTAACAGTCAATGCCATGTACTAGTCATGAATGACTTTGAGCCAAATCCTAGGTCATCCTGTCACTCTCAAATTTGTGTGTGCTATTTCCTCAACCTGACTTTGCATCTATTCTTAGAAGCATCTCTTAC